ACGAGAATCTTTCTACAAGATTGGCACTATCTTTTACTTTCCTGATCTTTTTTTTAAAGGTTTTGTATGCTTATAGAATAAATGCCAAACCCCTTCCTTTAGCATCCAGGACTGTCAGTGTTTTGGTCCCCTGGGCAGTACTATCCTTCACACAACCTACAGTCTGGACCAAGAGTTAGCGCTCACTCACCTGACTTCTATGTTTCACACTCTTCTGTCTCTAAGCCTCTTACAGTGCTAAGCTTCTTAACAGCTTCACTCTAATGCCAACAAGCCCATTTCCTTACCTAATTTCTTCACTCTTCAAAGTCCAGTTCAAAAGGTGCTACAATACTTGCCAGAAAGTCTTTTCAATACTTCACTTTCCCCAGAGCATTAACCTTTGCCTTCCAGTCAACTCTCACCTGCCAGTGACAGCACCTTAATATTCCCTTGTATCACAATTATTTATTTATTTATCCTTATTGATTGATTTTTTTTTTTTTTTTTTTTTTTTTTGAGAAAGAGTCTTACTCTGGTGCCCAAGGCTGGAGTGCAGTGGCATGATCACAGCTCACTGTAGCCTCAATGCCCACAGGCACAGGTGATCCTCCCACCTCAACGTTCTGATTAGCTGAGACTACAGGGATGCACTACCATGCCCAGCTAAGTTTTGTATTTTTTGTAGAGACAGGGTTTTACCATGTTGCCCAGGTTGATCTCCACCTCCTGGGCTCAAGTGGTCTGCCCACCTCAGTCTCTCAAGTGTTGAGATTACAGGTGTGAGCCACCGTGCCCAGCCACAATTATTTTTTTTTTTTAAAGATGGGGTTTCACCATGATGGCCAGGCTGGTCTTGAACTCCTTACCTCAGGTGATCTACCCACCTCAGCCTCCCAAAGTGCTAGAATTACAGGCGTGAGCCACCGTGCCTGGCCACAATTATTTATATTTACAGTTTACCTCCTTTACTAAATTCATTATAGACAAATTCCATGTTTTGCTGTTCTATTCCTCCACTTGAAAATAGTGTGGGAAAAATGTCCGTAGAGGTTTGCAGAATTACTTTATATATTTTAATTAGATATTAAAACTAGAACAATGACACAAAAGATATGGCCTAAGTATAATTATCTCTGGTATACATATTTTTTTCTCTAATAAGGCACAATAAACTCCCCATAAATATCAGTAAGAATCATTTTTAAACTAAGTCAAATCCCCCCACCCAAAATTGAGATTAAAGATTAGAAGAGAAGTTAATGACTATGGCTTTTTCTATCTGAACATCTGGCTCCGATAGTCATGAAATGCATTCAGGGATTAATCTTATTCATCAAGAAGTAAGTATAATTAACACATATAAACAAAGTCACATGGATGCTTTCAACACTGTTTACAGAATTCCAAATTTTATGATAATTCAGGTTTATTATTATTTCATTTTTGTGTCAAAATTTAGTTTCCCCTTCAAAGGAGGCAGTAGTCTTGCACCCCCAGCTGCCTTGGCATTCTTATTTGAGCCATTAGCATACAGCTCTCAGTAGTTCAGATTTACAATTACTCTCAAAACTTGTAGTCTCTAATAGATCAAAGAAACTTTACAAGTAATTAGGGACTTTTCCTTGTGGGTTAGTGTCAATTATAACAACTTAACTGCTCTACTGATTTTTCTGGAGATGAAAAAGGAAGTCTATGCCTTATTAGGAAAGTGTAGTTGGCACCAATGATTAAAAACTCAAAAATTAGATGCATAGTTCTATAGTTAAGTGTAATTCTTAATCTAGAGAAGATATAAGATTACATTGTTGAATACCAAAAGGTTAGCCAAAATGGGAATATTTATCTAATTTAATTCTGCTTATTAATCTTATAATTAACACAAACTTTGAATGAGAACAATAAGATTAAAATAAGACAAAGATGATAGTTATTTCAAAGTTGTTTGATGTTAAGGAAAACACATTTTAAATGTTGATGAGTAATATCATTACATGATATGATGAATACATACGAAAATCACCTGTATTATATGGTATAATCTGTATTTTTAGCTTTTAAGAAAATCTTGCTTACCCATCTACGGGAAGGCAGTGAGAAGAAGAACATCACCAACCTTCCCCATAATAAATACCGCACATAAAAACTAACCCAAAATGGATCATAGACCAGAATGTAAGCATTGAAATATATGTGAAATTTTTATGACATGGGATTAGGCAATAGTTTCGTAGCTATATCAAAAGCAGAAGCAAATTTTGTATTTTTTGTAGAGATGGGGTTTTGTCATGTTGCCCAGGCTGTTCTCAAACTCCTGAGCTCAAGTGATCCACCCACATTATATATTTATATAATAATATGATTAACATAACTAGTCTCCCAAAGTGCTGGCATTACAGGAGTGAGCCTGTATCATGCCTGACCAGAATGTCCTGATTTTTAATATTGGGCCTCCACCATGCTAGTAGGTCAGATTAAATCCAGAGGCCATCTATTTGTGATCTCCAATTTTCTTCATTTATCAACATGTGCTTCCAACCAGCCTTTCCAAGCCTGGAGACTCAGAATGCATTCTCCCTATGAGAATAAAACAAGTAGCAATTTGGTTTCCAGACACATTATATAGGAAAACTATAGTACTAAACGATTAGGACTATTATTACCTAAACCAGTGATTCCCCAAGTTTTTGGCACCAGGGTCCTGTTTTGTGGAAGACAATTTTTCCAAGGACCAGGTGAGGGGTGGTTTCAGGATGATTCAAGTGCATTACATTTATTGTGCACATTATTTCTATTATTACACTGTAATATATAATGAAATAATTATACAACTCACCATAATATAAAATCAGTGGGAGCCCTGAGGTTGTTTTTCTGCAACTAGATGATCCCATCTGGGGGTGATGGGAGACACCAACAGATCACCAGGCATTAGATTCTCATAAGGAGTACACAACCCAGATCACTTGTATACACAGTTCACAATAGGGTTCGCGCTTCTATGAGAATGTAATGCCACCACTGATCTGACAGGAGCAAGTGATAGGGAGCAGCTGTAAATACAGATAAAGCTATACTTGCTCACCCATCCACTGCTCATCTCCTGCTGTGCTGTCTAGCTCCTAACAGACCACAGACAGCAGCTGATCTGTGGCCCAAGGATTGGCGACCTCTAACCTAGACTAAACAATTAATAATGTTTATATTAAACAACTTATTCCAAGTTTCCATTTTAGACTCGGGAACATCTAAAGTGGTGAATCCACAGGTAGTAAATGGGAAGGAGATAACAGAAAAATTTAAGGAAGGGGAAGAAGCATTGGGAGGGTGCTGGTGAAGGATCCTGAGAAAGAAATCAAATCTTCAGACAGGCACAGTGGCTCACACCTGTAATTCCAACACTTTGGGAGGCTGAAGCAGGAAGATCACTTGAGCCCAGGAGTTCAGGGCCAGCCTGGGAACATGGCAAAATCCCAACTCTACCAGAAAAAAAAAATCTATATATACAACAAATAAGCCAGATGAGGTGGCACACACATGTACTCCAAGCTACTTGGGAAGCTGAGGTAGCAAGATCGATTGAGCCCAGGAGGTGGAGGTTACAGTGAGCTGAGATCATGCTTACTGTATTCCAGTCAGGTGATAGCGCAAGACCCTGTCCGAAAAAAAAAGAAAAATCTCCCATGGTGGATAGTGGGATGGGCTTTTAGAATTTCTCTGAAGATCTATGTCATCTACAGGCAACAAATTGATAAAAGAAAGAGAAAAGAACATAAAAATAGATATAGCATTTCAGCGGCTGCACACTGTCTCAGCAGTAGCAGTGGCTGAAATTCTTATAGTTCTTCCAAGAGGCCAGTGATATCTGGAAGAATTCTGTCAATTACTCATAAGTCATTCATCACAAAATGAGGATGTCAAATAACTAGGCTTAAAAGAAAAATCTATGAAGCCAAAAGTAAATCCATCTGCCTATTAGAAGATTAAAGTAAGATTTATGTTCTAAATGTACATTTTATTACTGAAGTGACAATAAGTTGACTTTTGCTATTAACTGAAATTAACCCATGGCTACTTCTATGAACTCTGAATTTTCTATTCATGAATAAATATTCTACCTTGAGATTATCCGTAACAAACATTTAAGCTCAGAGAAGAAATATTACCAGTATTTCTGGTTACCTTTGCTAACATTCAGTTAACATACAGCTGAAGAAATGTGAGTTGAATGTTATCCTAAAAGTAAACAAGATTTTAAAAATAAAATTTGGAAATTTTTAGAAGTCAGTTATTAAAAATGTTTCACAATATGACTTTATCACATAGTTCTGAGAAATAGTCTACAAGTTTTTGGCAACCTGAAGATTAGCTGATACATGCTCAGATAAACATTAAAACTGCTTTATTGTTCCTACATAACTAATTAATTTGTTACACAGAAAAAAATCATATATGTTATCTAACTCGGAACAGGAAGGACCACTGGATTGTCTCTATGGCCACTCCTTTCTATTAACATAGAAAATTAACGTGCTCCTCTAAATAGGGTGGTTTACCAAATTTCAGATTCTTAATGTGTCTGTTCCCCTCCATTAGTATAGAAATCAAACATACAACTTAATTTGGAAAAGGTGTTCATATTATGAAGTTATTGGGGGTTTTCAAGTAAGGAGATACTCAATGTCTTTTTGTACTAGACAACCAATTCTTCTATATAAAATATGCTTCAAATGTTTCACAATTATTTTTTGAAAATACTTAGCTTGTAACTGCCTTCACAGAGATTCACTAACATAAGCAAAAAGCCCTAGAGTATTTCTTGGCTTGAAATAATAGTTATCATGGTACATCAGATACCAAGGAAAGCAAGACAAAAAAGTATAAAAAATAAGAGATTATAGATTTTGAACTCAACCAAAGTCAGTCTCAACCATCATATCAGATTGTTTCTAAAGGAAAACTTTAAGGCATTTTTGTATTGTATAATTTGCAAAAATGAAATTGTCAATTATAAAACATACCTTGGTGAGCTAAAGTTGATCTAAGCATCCCAGTCTTTGACCAAATTTTTATTTGTCCATCTTCTCCAACTATACAGGGAAAAGAATTTAATCAGTGTTTTTACCTATAGAAAATAAATTTAAACATTAAATTTGAATATAAAAATCAACAGTACCTATAATACTGCGTATTCTTTTTTTTCTAGGCTCCCTCAAATCATGGGATATTACCACATATTTAAAATTCAGATACGATTTAATTAAATGACAGAGAACTTTATAACTGTATCAGTTAATAAAAATTACTTGGAGATGATTTTATCAAAGTAGCTTAACTTTCATAATTAAAAATTTTTTTTCCTTTAATCTTAGAAGACTTCTAAGTATATTGCTCAAATAATGTTTCCTTTGTCACTGCAATCTCCATCTTAGAATTCTAAGAAAAGTATTTGCAATGTAATAAGAACTGCAGCCAAATTCCAGTGAGTTGGGGACTGAATGAAGTGAAGTAATAAACTACTCCTTTGAACAGCTTGGCTGAAAAAGGGAGAAAGAAAATAGCTGCAGGTACAGAAAGCTGTTTATTAACAGAGGGATTTTTATCTCTTGTTAATTTTTAAAATGAGTGATATCTGAACATATTTACATGCTGACAAAGAAACCAATGGACAAGGAGACGTTGAAGATACAAGAGAAGCGACAATTCACTGAGGAAAGTCCTAGAGAAAGCCCAGGGTATAGGTATGACGGTTTTAAAACATATCCTCAAATTCTTTGTTATTCTTCCCTTCAAGAGGCACAGTTTAATTTCCCTCTCTGCCAGTGTGGGCTGTATGAAGTGATTTACTAAGTCAACAGAATATAATTGAAACAGAGTACGATTTCTGAGGATGCATTACAAAAAATACTGTAGCTTCTACCTGGCTCTCTTTTGGATCACTGGGAGACAGCAGCTGCCATGTTGTAAAAACACTTAAGCAGCCTTATGGAGATGCCCCTGTGGCAAAGAATTAATTAACGTCTTCTGTCAAAGCCAGAGAACTAAGGCCTCATGCCAACAACCATGTGAGTAAGACATCTTGGAATTAGATCCTCCAGCACCAGACAAACCTTCATATGACTGCAGCCCCATCCAACAACTTGACTAGAACCTCATGAGAAGCTCTTAGACAGAACCACCCACCTAAACTACTCCCTGACCCACAGAAACTATCAGGTGCTACATGCTTATTATTTTAAGCCACTAACTATTGGAGTAATTTGTTATGAGCAATTGATAACTAATGTAATAGGTGAAGATAAGAATCCTTAATGTAGGGCAGGGGATGGGAAAGAGACAGAAGGGAGATAAAGATCAGTTAAACGAGAATATTTGGAATTTTCAAATTTTAAAGAATTTTTAAAGAACTTTTATTTATCTTATACTTGACCATTCCAAAAGCCTTCTTTGACAGAACAGTCTCCCAAGGTCACATAAGAAAAGGATTAATATAATATTCTGCATTATAACATTTATATAGCAGTGTGGAACAACATTTTGCCAATTTTTTGCTATTAGACAATGAAAGACACTATTGCTAAATGAAAATATTCTGTTTCTTTGGAAATTTTTCTTTAAAAAATTCATTTCAAATGTCATTTTTACAGACAACTTACCTGTAACTAATGCTGTTCCTTCGTAATTCCATCTTCCTGCAAGTACTGCTCCACAGTGAGCTTCTACACTTTTTTCCACTCTTCCTAACTTGGAAATCAGATGAAATTTACCTAAAAGAAATTACATTTGAAAAATCTATTATATTAATTTATTCAATCAACAAAGCACTTACTACTAGACTAGGTAAAAGGCGCTGGAGGCATAAAGGCAAATATTAACTGTAATTATTCTTAATCTCATACATGAATCTATTGGAAAATAGGCACAAAAACAAAATTATTTAAATATTGTAAAATATTTTAAAATAAATTGAAAATGCATATGTTTACTTGGTTCAAAATAATTATATATGTTCATAATAGGGAAAAAATAAAAATTCATAAACATTTTGATTTAGTTAACATAATTTAAATACCTGTGGTCTGGGTATATGTCTGTGCTTCAGAAATAACATACCAATAAATATATCACACCTATGGATGGGAAAGTGTTTTAAATTACCAGCTGTATATGATTAAATTTAATGATCATTCAGAAACAACATTGATCCTTCCTTTCTTGACTTCTTGTATCACTTATTCTTTGCACTGTTGATTTGTCTATCTGACATCCCATATAATTAGCTTATGTCCTTTAGAGTTACACTGTTTTTATTTTTTGCCAATATATGTACATACTTCTGCAACTAAGTGGCTTGCTTTGTCTACCTGGTGCCTGACAGAGTATAAAATTATATAAGGCAAGTATTTTAAAACTTGGGATTATCCATTTTACTATTTGGTTCCTCTCCTTTATGCCTTTTCCAGCATTTTTACAGACTGTTTAAAAAAAAAAAAGTCAAGACTGTAAAACTGTGCTTAACACAAGACTTTCTTGACATTTCTCTTGACCCTCCCTTGGCCACATCACAGCAGAGTTTTATATCCCTCTGATTTATCATAGTACTATATACCTATGTCTATTATGTCACTTGTTTCAAGGTTTTATATTCACAGTTCTTAGCTCTATCTACTGAAAGGGCCTTGAAGCAAATACACCCCACTGGAATGAGCAGAGCTAGCACTGTTATCTTGTTTTTTAAAATACCATTAACTACCAGAAAAAGAACAGGTCTCTGTGGAAAATGGCTGATTTGGGGGCTGGGACTAAGAAAGTACAAGATAAGCCTGGAACATCTTGTGCCAGCAAGGAAGGCTCAAAAAATGATAAAGACACATGTAAAATTAAAAAAAAAAATCACTGTAGCTGGCTTGATGGAGCTCCCACTGACCAAATCTGGGGCACTTTTAACATCAAAATTAAAAAATGATAATATTATTTGCAAAATAAAATAAGAATCTACAAGTCTAATCTGACCCCAAAAAACAAATAAATATATGAACATGGGACAGGAAGCTCTACCTTGGTGTAGAATACCAACTAATCAATATGGAATGAATTATGGAGTTGGAAAATTCACCATTTGGCAAACCATCTTTGTAATAAGTGATTCAGCCAAGAGTCATCAACAGATGCTAACAGAGTGGGAGGAAGTTTGATGAGGAGGAGAGTATTTTTACATAGTGTCAAAGTATCTTTTCACAAATTATTAAAAGGAGTAAATAGTAACTTTACAGAGATTAACTTAATGAACATGAACTTACTAACTTATAATTAAGGTTAACATAACCAATAATGGGTCAAACCAACATCATAAATCTCCTAATCTGCTGCCCTAAGTATCCTGCTAAGGACGTATAAATTGAATCTAATCATGAGGAAGTATCATACAAAAATAAATGGAAGAACTATAAAATAACAGGCATATATTCTTCTAAACTGCCAAGATCATAAAAGACTGAAGAGTTGTTCCAGATTAAAGGAAGCTAAGGAGACACAATAAAAGCAATGTATTATCCTGTACCAGCAAAAACAAATTTCTATGGAAAATTAGAATGACTGTTAAAATTTAAATATAAACTATGGATTAGATAATAGTATTGCTAAATGTCCTGATTTTTATCAATGTATTGTGGCAATGTAACAGAAAATTCTTATTCCTAGGAAATGCATTGAAGTATTTATGGTTAAAAGTACATGTACGCAAATTACTCTCACATCTTTCAGAAAAAGTGTGTGTGCATGTGTGTGTGTCTGTGTGTGTGTCATGTGTATGTATGTAATGTATGTAGAAAGAAACAGAGCCAATATTTTGTACCAATGTATACAGGACAAAATGTGAAACTGGTGACTCTGGATAAAGGACATGAAGGAATTATTTGTACAATTCTTAAAACTTTGCTGTAAATGTGAAATTACATCAAAGTTATTTTTTTAAGTCAATGGCTCACTTTATCATCTGGGGTAAACTAAACTCTAGCTGTGGTTCATCTTCTAAGCACCAGGCACTCTACCAAGTTATTTTACACACGTATCTCATTTAATCAAGTTTGCAAAAAACAAAGCTTTTAAAAAACTACAAGTCTCTCTGTAAAACAAGTGTAATCTGAGATTCCTAACAGCCTTTCCCTCTTCTGGTAACAAAAGCACTCTTCTTTCTCTTCCCCTTTGCATGTGGATGGCCTGAGGCTGGATATACTCAGTCAGTATCCCATTGTCCTTTTTTTTTTTGAGACAGAGTCTCTGTCACCAAGGATAAAGTGCACTGTTTGATCTCTGCTCACTGTAACCTCTGCCTCCCAGGTTCAAGCAATTCTGCCTCAGCCTTCCAAGTACAGGCATTCACCACCACACCCAGCCAATTTTTTTGTATTTTCAGTAGAGATGGGGATTTCACCATGTTGCTCAGGCTGGTCTCAAACTCCTGACCTCAAATGATCTGCCCTAAGCTCCCAAAGTCCATTCTCTTGACCAAACTGATTGACTCAGTGATGAGCACATGACTCAAGTTCATTTAGGGTCCCTCTGCAACCTGCCTACATGAGACACTGAGGAAGAAGCAGTCTTATGAAGTATGATGAGCCTTGGCTACTGGCCGCATCATATTCACCATCATGTTGACCCTGTGGACAGAGCCTACCCAAGAGATGGTAAGAACAGGGGCCTGATGCAAGTAGTGCTTGATCTACTCCTAGAGCTGGGGGAACCAAAAAAAAAAAAAAACCTCTATTTGTGCTTAAATTAGCCAAGAAAGTTTCTGTTACTTTGAATAAATGTGCTCCTAACTGAAACAGTAGGTAAAATATAACACAGATGAAACAGTTCAAGATTTCTAAGAAAACAAATATAAAAACAAACCCTTAAAAAGTGAAAAAAAAATCATACTTTCTATGCACCAATAGAAAGCTGTGGTCAAATTATATAACTCTTCAACTCTGTAACTGAAAATTAACATGTACTGGAAAATAAAGGACATATTTAACAGATACCTTATTAAATGAGTATGTATCTCTTTTCATTGTGGTTGTATTAAGTTAAATTTGAAGAATTTAGAAACTAAAACTATGATAACAGCTTAACTCAACTGGTAAGAGTACTAAAAAAGTAAAGCCAGCTGGGCATGGTGGTTCATCCCAATAATCCTAGTACTTTGGGAGGCCAAGGCAGGAGGATTACTTGAGGCCAGGAGTATGAGACTAGCCTGGGCAACAAGATGAGACCCTGTCTCTACAAAAAAATTGTTTTAATCAACCAATGTGATAATGTGCACCTGCAGTCCCAGCTATTCAAGAGGCTGAGGCCGGAAGATTGATTGCTTGAGCTCAGGAGTTTGAAGCTACAGTGAGCTATGATCACATCACTGCACTCTGGCCTGCAGTGAGACCCCATCTCTAAAAAATATATATATGTAATAAAGCCAAAGGCCCATATTCAATCCTAGCATATGCCAGATAGATTAACTTTCTTCCATGACAATAGTCTCACAGCCTATACACAAACCAAGTGACTCTTCAGAAAACATATACAATGTGTGGATAAAAGTATGCAGATCCACCAATACCAGTTTTGTAAAACAACTCAAAGCACAAATAATACTGTTAAGTCTTTGAAATACAATGGTAAGCATATAATGTTTATTAAATACTTACCATCAGAACTCGTGAGGACAAAGCTTTCTGCCTGGGTTTGCTTCTTTACACCCAAACTTTTCGGAAACCAGTGAAAATCTATAGGGTAAATATCATCAGGAAGCTTTACTATTTGAGTTGTTTCACTAGTTAACAAGTTCCACTTCACTATCTGGTGATCATCACTGCATGAATACAGCTCTTCAGCAGTAGTCCAGCCCACACAGCTTACTAATTCTTGATGTGTCACCATGTTAAGGAGATATAAAACATACAAAAGTCTTAAGTCTTAATGAATAATTCACAGATACAGATTATAAGGTATAAGTAAAATAGGATCAAATGTTTTCAAGCTTCTAAATGTATTTTCCATTTTATGACTGGTATTTTTTTCTATATAAGAGAAAATAAGCATCTGTTAAAACAGTTCTAAGAATGGAAAGCAAGAAAGAAATCCAGATGACAAAAGAAGGGGAAGAAAAGATCTGACCACATGAAAATTTACAACTTGTGTTATACAATATTGTACAAACAAGCCAAAAGGTACACAAAAGAAACCTAGTAGATCAAAAGGTATCAAAGGATCTACACGTAACTGTTGGGGGATAGGTAGGGAGCAAAGGGAACTATACTTTTTTCTTTATATATATCTGTGCCATTTAAGTTATTAAAATAAGCATGTATTCTTTTGCTAAAAAAAAAATCAAGTGTCAAAAGAAGACTGAAATCTAACAGTAAGATACCCTTTTAAATCACATATTATCTTAACAATTCACCTAGGAAAGAACCTATGGCTTAACAGCTGAAACTAATATCTTACCGAACTTTTTTTTCATTTTATATTTTTCATTAACAATACCAAACTTTCTTACATTAAACTTAGGAAATAATTCAATTATGATTTACTTCACTTATAAAATGCACAGTGCTGGACGAGATATGATTCCAAAAATGTTTACTTTATTTAACCCATTTTTTTCAGTCTCTAATTTATCAGAATTTCTACGTAAGTTGAGATGCTCAAGTAGCCCTCACTTCCTCCATCAGGACAGAATGCTTACTTACCCTAGCAGAATTGTGGTATCTAAACGCATTTCAGTTTGTTATTTACAAAGAATGTTTTCTCTTGCTACATCTGGATGACTATACTGCCCGATTATTCCTAGTTGAGTTGTTTATTCTTATTGTTATGATATAATCCTTTTATTTCCTTCATTTCTCACCAGTACTTTTATTGTCTTATTTGAGCAATAGTTTGATTGTTTTTTCCAAGGAAACAGAGACAATGTGCCATAATTATTCTAGGATGTCCCAAGACTTTTTAATACTTCAAAATATGACACATTAAGCAGAAGCCAAAAAGATAAAAAGAGATTACGGAAAGATCATAAAAGTCTGCACAAAAAGGTAATAAAAAGAATAGTGGAATACTCAGAACTCAAAACACAATCTAAACAAAAGGACACTAGACCGTTCCTGAAAAAATTGTTCTATTAAAATTGCTGTCGCCTAAACAATGTTAGGTAAAACCTAAAATGGGAGAAGTTTAGGTAAAACCCAGAAAGGAAGAAAACTCACAAACAAATATGCATACAACCGAAACAAAAAATCATTAGCTTAACCTTATATAAATTGCTATAAGTACATGCCAGACATCCATGACATTATCTTCAAACTAACAGGTCAATTAAAATTATGAGAGAAATGAGAGGACTGCCAGATCAAGAAAATCTAAAAACATTGTTATTCCTTGGCTTGAAAGGTAAAAGCAGACAGTAGACATGGTTTCGAAATCTATGAAACTGTATGGCATGAACTCTTGAAAGCACACTTTTTGAAAAGACAGTAAAAATGATTTAAGGAGAAATAAACATAATTGCATCTTCACTTAATAGTTAAATAAGCAGACAAGATAACATAAAATGAAAACACCAATTTAAAACGTCTGATCAAACGTTTAAATCAGTGCTTTCCTAGTTCTTACGAAGCACCAGATTTTTTTAAAAATTTGAATCCATTGCAGATGGGTATTTTGGAAGATATAATAAAAATGAAATACTAGAAAATTTGGACATTATAACAATGTCAAATTGCTACCAAAATTTCTCAGCCCTTACTTTCAATTTCTTTTATTCTTTCACAGACCTTTTGTAGACTTTTGCAATAAAGTCTACAAAAGATACTTTGAATAGAATTAGTCTAAATGTCTAAGAATGATGATAGTGGTGCCTGCCATATCTCCTTGACACATAACTGGGGACTCTTGCTGATAAAATATAGGGTCACGTGTTTGAGAAAATATTACTAATTGCCACCTTCCCATGTGAAATGAGGATTTGACTGCTCAGATTTCCCCAACTTGTCCTTCACTTTATCATGAATGTTAAGAAATAGAGCACAGCTGAATTTAGTAAATGCTAGATCACACTAGAAAAGAAACTACTTGGTTTAAAAAAAAAAAAAAAAGGTTGCTTTTTTGGCCTGGCACGGTGGCTCATGCCTATAATCCCAGCACTTTGGCAAGCTGAGGCAGGCAGATCACCTAAAATCTAGAGTTCAAGACCAGCCTTGCCAACATGATGAAACCCTGGCTCTACAAAAAAACACAAAATTACAAAAATTAGCTGGACATGTTGGTGGGCACCTGTAGTCCCAGCTGCTCAGGAGGCTGAGGCAGGAGAATCACTAGAACCGGGGAGGTGGAGGTCACAGTGAGCTGAGATCGCACCACTGTACTCCAGCCTGGGCGACAGAGCCAGACTTCGTCTCAAAAAAAAGAGCTTCCTTTTTAAGATCCTATTAAAGAAAACAAAATCTGTTTTTTAAGTATTTAAGTATAGTACTTAAGTAGAGTAAGAAAAATGTCAATAAGAATTTGAAAGTAAGATTTATAGCAAATAGTTCACTTTGGAGAATTACCTACAACATGTGATCTTAAATATTTTTAAACAATTTAGGTAAACTGCCACTAAAGGAATGAAAAAATATATATATTCTTCAACTAGAATACAAAATAGAGGAAAGTTTTAACAATACTATAATTAAGAAAATCACAATAAGATTTATAAGCATTAAAAGGATATGCTTTGGTTCTTTTAAAAGAGATATCTTCAGTCTCATGACTCCACTTCCAGCAAAAATTTCAGATGCCACTTGATTCTATTTTCTGTAAAAATAAAAGGAGAGAAAATATAAAGTCAGCATGAAAAACAAATGTATGTGTACACACAAAAAAAGCAAACAAAACTTCTTTGCACCCCAAGGAGCACCTTCAATCTTTCTGACATCAAGTACATGGAAAGAGAAAGAAAATTAGTGGGTGTGCCAATCCTGCCACGGATGGAAAGCCTTGGGTCAAACCCCAGGAGTCCTCTACAACCTGTCTGAGACTGTTCTACGCAGAACAGCACTAGGTAGATCTGGTCAGGTAAAGAATTTCCATGTCCTGAGGCCAAATCAAAAGATTCCACAAACTGGGAACTCTTCAATTTTGGTCCTGTCTACTGGATATAAATTAAATATACAAGGTCTGATTGAGGACTAAGCTACAATTCTAGAATCCATGTGGAAAAATATAACATCATAAACCTAGGGGCCCAATCAAGGGTTGACATCCTGCAGTGGGGGCAGATACACTGCCCAACAGTTATGGTTACCACAGTGACAATGTAAAAAATAAATGACTTATTTAAGGAAGAGGTAATAAAATGCTTATGAAAGTTATATGAAAATCACAATGTAATTGCCAAATAAAAACTTACAAAAAGAAGAATAACATTCCCTAAATAGCCATAACATCAAGACACAAATCATTGCTATGAATATGTTGCTGTACAAAAAAAAAAAGATAGAAATCAAGAACATGCTAAATTGTCTGAGTCCGATTTACATTTACAGAATTCTTTCTGAGTAACATCACTAACCTAAATAGGTAAATATAAATCAAATGAAAGCGTAATTAATGGGGAAAAAAATCCTCTTTACCAAGTTGAAAATTACTGCTAACTACATCAAAGGAGGTCCTGACTATAGATAAGAATCCAGTAGGCCTCCCTTAGACAATTTCTCATTCTCCTGAATCCAAGAAACTTTACATCAGCACAGTGCTAAATAAAGCTGTATTTCAAAGCACTCTTTTCACTTCTTTCTCTTTCAGTTCTCTTAGAGTGATTTCTGTTGAACTTCAAAAGTATGAAACTATGTGTAGCACAGCCAGAGCCAGATTACAATGTCTCCCAGGCACACTTCCTAGGTTCACTTTTTCTGATCTTTAGGAGTTCTCTACCTTCCTCCAAACTCCCTCTTCCATCAGGCCCCCTCCAATTAGAAAGGGGAAAAAAGACTAACATTTTATGAATTGCTGCTTTTTCACAGTAATTGAAATTTACTCAATTTATAAGGATTTTAACAGAAGAAAGGCAGATAAATATTTGCTTCTGGAAATGCAACACAATCAACAATAAAATACACACAAAAGCTGAATATACTATTACAATCAGAAACTTAAAAGACATGATTTATTCTACATCAGAAAACCTAAAACTGCCAAAATCCATAATTAAAATAATTCCTCACGAGAATAAATCATAATCCCCTACAAATAGTAGAAGCAGTATGGTTTTTGTTTTGTTTTTGAGATGGAGTCTTGCCCTGTCACCAGGCTGGAGTGCAGTGGCATGATTTCAGTTCACTGTACCTCCGCTTCCCAGGTTCAAGGAATTCCCCTGCCTCAGCCTCCCAAGTAGCTGGAACTATAGGCGTACGCCACCATGCTGGGCTGATTTTTTGTATTTTAGTAGAGACAGAGTTTCACCATGTTGACCAGTATGGTCTCTATCTCCTGACCTCGTGATCCACCTGCCTCAGCCTCCCAAAGTGCTGGGATTATAGGTTTGAGCCACCACACCCAGCAGAAGCAGTATGATTTTCATAAGAAAGGAATCATTAACCATTCAGAAACATGATGCCAAGGAATCAGCAAAAGAAGACGATGGCATTCTAACACTGGGAAGATCTTCCCTTACTCAGAAAGATCTTTCCCACACATTCCATTTATCTGAGATCATCTGTATGAATGATACGTGTACTCTGATGTGAGATTGAATAGGGGAATAACAGAAAAAGTAATATTAAAACAGCCAATTTGGGGAAGTGCAGATGTGCCTGAATGCTGCATTGAGGTGTTTTTATCTGCCTAAGGGTATTGATCATGAGGCTCTGACTATCCAGTGGTATTGGGGCAGGGGTTGGATTTAGATAATATAAAGAAAATTTTGAGGGTATAGGTAACTTTGCAAGTTTACACAGGGAGCAAGTAGCAGCAACTATGTCTTTGCTACTAAAAATCATTTAAAAGTTGTTTTTGGTCCAGTGTGGGTCTACATTTATGAGGCTTGAGAGGAAAAAAATGTGCCCAACAATATGTGACAATCCAACCACTAAAATATACAACAAATCTGGTCATTTCTGAGTACCTTCCTCATAGTCCAAAGCCACCACTATCCTCTGCCTCAATTATTGCAGTGGTCTCAAAATGCATCTTCCTATTCCTATACTTACTCCTACAAACTATTCTAAATACACCAGCCAGTAATTATTTTAAAGCTAAGTCAGAATATGAAGACCAGTATGCCTAAAATAAAATAAGTAAGGGACTGGCAGGAAATTAGGGAAGAAGAGGGTGGGACACGTCATACAGAGCCTTGGAAAGTCATAATAAAAGCTTTAGTTTTTCTTCTGAATGAACCAAGAAGCCAGTGGAGAGGTTATGAGCAAATAAGCGATATAAGCTGATTTACATTTTAAATGGATGCTATGGGTGGTATACAAAAAAGAGCCTCTCAGGAGAGAAAACGAGTAAAACTGGAAGTAGTAAGACCAGTTAAGATTTCAATAATCCAGAAGAAAAATGAAAGTGACTTAGATAAAGAAGGACAAGGAAGGCAGTACTACAAGTAGCATGAAGTGGTCATATTCTAAATATATTTTGAAAAAAGATTTCAGAAGATTTGCTGATGAATTGGGTTTAAGAAAAACAGTAGTAAAAAATTACCGTAAAGTTTCAATAGGTAGAATAAAGTTGCCATTTACTGAAATGAAGAACATTGAGAAACAGGTTGGAAGGGGTGACATCAAACATTCTGTTTTGGATATATTAAGTACAAGGTGTCTATTAGACAACCCAAAGGCAAACGCAAAGAGAAATCAGACATAATACAGTAAGTCTGGAGTCAAGTGGGAAGTTGGAGTTGCAGATATCAACTAGATATTGATATCAGCAAAAGATCCTATTCAAAGCCATGCAATAAGATGAAACTACCAAAGAGAACATGAAAAAGTGGTAGATTCAATGGCCTGGAAATCCTACTGAAGTCTTTAGAATTGTTAGCATTAAGAGTCCAGAGGACATTAACTAGTGAAAACAAGTGGAGATAGACAAAGGGATACTTAAAACAGATTTTAGAGCCACTATAAATATTGGTAATGATAAGATAGGTTATGACTGTGAAAGTGGGTGGCCCAGGTCAAGGAACTGACAGGCCAGGCAATGGACTAGACTTATTTGTGGACATTTAAATCACGGAAGATAATGATAAGAATAGTATTGGAGATAGAGATAGCAAGATGCTTAAAATACTCATTGAATGAGGACAGAGCAAAGAGTTCTGCAGATGACTACATAAAAGCACAGCAGAGAATGGTTTAATCTGGTAGGACTTGTTTCAAATGGACCAGGAGATTTTAGACAGGAAGAAGAAAGAGAATCAACTGTCCAGAAACAGTAATGAGAGATAAGACTCTAATATATGGGAGTTTGGGAGGCAAAACAGCCTCTACTTGAGAGATCTGTAAAAGCAGCTTCTCCTTAGGAAACAACCAGATTTAAGTTAGACTTCAAGAGTAAAGCGATCATTCAGAATAAAAGCTGAGGACACTGATTTGGCTAATGACAAACCATGAGTTCCAAAAAAATTTAGATGGTGAAGAACTAAAGGTTTAAAATAGATGGAGATGGTAGAAACAGCTGGCTATCCCACAATATCCATTCATCCCTGCTTCTGTGGTATAGGAATTTGAAGTTTTGCTGTACATCTGGCCTCCTAAAATGAAGACTATGTTTCCTAGCTGCCTTTGAAACCAGGTGTGGCCACACAGGGTATTAATAATACTGAAACTGACAGTGGATATTATAATATCATCAACCTACTGGCCCAATCTGGCTTTTATATTCTGTGAAGGGTAGAAATGAAGAGGCAGGACTCAACTCTGAAGGGAGGGCTCCAATGGGACCAGACTGGGGACTGGCTAAAACATAGAATAGGTGAAATCACCTCTCTGTAAGACACGTCCATCAGTGTGCCATGTAGGTTTACCATTGCCACAGTAACACCAGGAAGTTACCTGTTTTTCTAGAAATTTCTGCATAACTCACCTCTTAATTTGCATAAAGTTAAAAGTGGGCAAAAATGTGACTGCAGAACTACCTTTGAGCTGTTCCTCTGGGCATACTGCCTATGGGGTAGCCCTGCTCCACATGGAACAGTACCTTTGCTGGGGTTGTACACTGCTGCGTCAATAAAAGTTTCCACATAACACCACCGGCTCACTCTTCAATTCTTTCCTGGGCCATGCCGAGAACCCTCCTGAGGTAAGCCTGCCCTGCATCAGATACACTACCCAACAGTAATACCACCTAAGTTCATATTGCCTAACTCCAGAGTGGCAATGTGAAAAGTGAGTTATCTGAGAACCCCATTTCATTACCTCTTACAAAAGTTATGTAAAATCACAGCATACTTGGCAAATAAAAACACCTGGAAGAGTAACACTCCCCATGCCATGCCATGAAAGCCATATATAACACAGCAAGATAAAAAAGAGCCAAGATTCCTGACCTTGTGGAAAGTCACATCAATCCTGTACCGTTGAAGTTTAAAGTGATAGAGAATAGTTTTATTTAAGCTACTGTCATCAACAGCTAATCCTAAGAACAAACTAATGTAGGGAATTGAGTCTTAAATGTGGAGACTGAGGTAAACAGGGATATAAGGTATGACAGAGTAGTCCCATATGCCTCTTGAGAAATGGTGGCTAATCAATTTAAACTGTAGCCTTCTTGGAACTGCTCTCTTAAGCAGTGTTGATACAGACTTGTAAGAGAAAAAG